CTTCCGCGGGAATTCCTCCCGTAGCTCCCAGGCGGAGCTGCTGTGCACGCGCGTGTGAAGGGATGCACTGACCGCACGTGCAGCGTGAGGAGTTGGGATGAGCCTAGGTCCGTGAGGACGGATGAATTGCAGACCTTTAGAGTTCACTGGTTCGGTTTCTGGAAGGATTAATATCCTCGTAGTACTTTGTGTGATGTCCATGAGCGCGTGAAAGTGTGTATCTGTGGCAGAACAATCGTCTTTCAGATGTTGCCCTGGTTCCGCTCATCACAGGTACTTGCCTCATTTCCACTCCTTAGGCTGAACCATCCCAATGTAGTGGCTGCCCGTGACGTCCCTGAAGGCATGCAGAAGCTGGCACCGAATGACCTACCACTGCTGGCCATGGAGTACTGCCAAGGCGGAGACCTCCGCAAGGTGAGGTCCCTGGGATGGTGACCAAGGGCTGGATCACCTTCTCAGCTGATCCTAGGGTTTCTATTGAAGTTTCTCTGTAAAACCTCTGTTTTCACATCCTAATGCTTCCTAATTCTTGTTGTGGCATCGACAGATTTTGGTGGTTGGTCCTTGACATTATGTTCAGCTTTTGAAGACTTGAGGGCTTTCTGAGACTTTTTGTATTTGTTTGGCTGCTAGTGACACTGCGAGGAGTTTACAGATAGAGGAGGAGGGCATGTGTGAGGGGTGTGCAACAGGATGTGAGTATGGCCAAGGCCATCACAGGGCAGGGCACATCTGTGGGCTGTACCCTTCATGAAAGTGATTAAACAACACGTGTTAATTCTGATCTTACTGTTTTTTCTAACCTTTGCTATAAGCTGCCCATAGATAAAACCCAGAGCTGAGATTTGAGCTGATACGGCCAGGCACAGGGGAAACGGCTATAAAGGACGGAGCAAGTAGAAGGAAGAGAATGGGGATGATACCGACTTTGTTCACCCGCTCTTTCTCCTGCCGTGTGGTTAGACCAAAGCCTGAAGCTGTAATTGCTGCTACTGGAGGTCACAGTCTCACAGAGTTTTATGCCTTTACGGAATTTCATTGCTGTTACTGGAACTTCTTGCATTCATGAGAGTTTGTGGGACCATGAGCCTCACTCAGGATACATGAGGGAAAGACTATATTCTGTGTTGTTTTTTTTGCAGTACCTGAATCAGCTGGAGAATTGCTGTGGTTTGCGGGAAGAAGCTATTCTTATCCTGTTATCTGATATTGGTAAGTGGTAGCAGTACCTTCAGTTGTCTGAACTATGGAAGCCCTTTCAGTGCCGAATCCACTCTAAGGATATGCAGCACTGACCTTAACGACTCCCTCTTAGACTGTCATTTGAAGAATATACTTGTTTCTTGTCCTGCTCTGCCAGCCCCCCCTGTGGGAGAGCCAACCTTTGATTTTTGTTCTTGAGACTGTAAAGATGGATTTTCTTGCCCAGCAAAAATGTCACTTGGGATTTCCTGGAAGGTTCTGGGTAGCTGAACACTTGCCAAGTGACTCTGGTTTATGTTGCACGTTGGTCTCCACCCTCAGCTTAACAGCTGATCATTAGGACTTCAGACCGTGTGTGATCAGTGGATTCCCATTAGCATTTGGGCAACCACTGTATGGAATTTTAAACCATTCTGGTGCAAAGTTGCCAAGTCTAGAGACTTTTGTGGTGGAGTTTTTTGGTCAAGCTATGTTGCGATCTTACTGACTTGCAGCCGAGGCAAAAGTGGACAGGTGCTAAGGCTTTAGAGAGAAGACATTGAAGAAGTGTGTTTGAGGCAGAGGTATGCTTAGAAAGTGAGCTTGTGGCAAGGGTGTGCGTTTGTCATTACTTTTACTGCGGTTGTGGCTGTTAGGCATTATCTCCCGTCCTTTGTATTCTGCTGCCTCATCCTTGTACTCCCTAGTCACCAGGAGGTGATACTGAGTGCTGACCAGAGACCATGGCAGATCATGTTTAGAGTGAAATTTATGTTCACATGCTTGTGTGTGTATGGGATGAGGGACAGACCCAAATTTTCAATTGGATGATCTGAACTGTAGATGATAAGAGATATTTTTTGACTATTGACATAACTTGTTCTCCGGGTCACTTACAGTGCGCGCCTAGTTGGTCTTTCTAGTGTTACTGTCCTTCGGGAGAACGACAGTTATATTGGTAACTTCTGAAAGTTTCGCTGGTCATTTTGCACTGAACAAGAGAGCTCTTGTCTGGGAATGCAATGCTGTCAGAAGGGACACAAAGTCTCGGAGAGCAGAAAAGTGAATCCCTTTGGTTCAGGCCTGAGTCATGGAAATGCTGCCAAGTTTTGTTTTTCCTAGCACCGTGATTTTTCTTTTTATCCACAGGAGGGAAGATATATTAAGGTTTTATCTTGAGCAAGTGTGAGAAAATAGAGGGCATTTATTCTGCCTTTGTGTATTCTTAAGATGAAATTTTTGGCTTTCTAGTATAGATGGA